TCAGTTTAAATGAATCGAGATTCACTCCTACTTATTCGAGATTAAATTGAATAAACAAAGTATTGCAACTTAATTTGCTAACCTTTCTAATTGTATCAACACTTTTAGGAGAGTTTCCAGTAGCACTCTGCATTCGAGATGAATCTGGAAGTTCAACCCTCTCTGTAAATGCACCTTTGCCAAATGAATTTGTTCTTATTTCCTCTGACTGTCTTTCCTTCAAGGCGAAGTCAGTCCATCCTAAAAATGTAGGGGTTGTTCTCTCAACCAACCTCCTACCTTTGAACAGAACCCGATCGGCATAGAACAGCTAGAAAGACGGAGATAAGAAATAAAGCACATCAATTAGTAATCATCAAGTAAAACTACTTTAACTACAGTAATGTAAAAATAAATCAATATTATACAAGTGGCTTACAGTCAAGAATGCAAGAGGACCCGTGTAGAATTGTTTGTCGGGTCAACCTTCCACTTGTGTTGGCTATCTATCATTGAGTCAAGTAATAAAGAACACCAATTGTATTGAGAGCACTGATCAACATTATCACCAAGTACTAGAATCCGTTGGTTGACATACGGATTGCTAAGCGATTGGATCATGCTGTTGTGCAAGAGAACCAAGAAATTCAGTTTAAAAAATAGGTTAACATCAGAACTGTGCTTCAGTTTCTCAGACACAGCCCCTGGCGTAATTTTCCAACCAAATCTGTCTGTGAATTGACCCCTCCATTCATCCACCAATGCTGACTTGCCAGTACTGGAAGCTGGTATACGCTTCCTGCCTAGAGGTAATCCCATCACTTGATGTACATCTTCCTCTGTGATACTGATTGATCCTCTGGGAAGATTAAGCGCAACGGATTCACTGTCAAAGGACTGCAGAATCTGGTACCCCAACATATGTGGCAGTTCCTTTAATCCAAATTGTAAAAGACCTCCAAGTCCAGCTAGTCTCACCCATTCTTTTTGGGAGTCAGAGAGTGACAAAACCATATCAGAGAATATCTTTGGAGAGACCCGTATCCTAGTCAACTCCTTAGGTTCAAGAACTCACATTTTTTTTTCAAAAACTTCTGCAGTGACAAAAAAAGAAAATTAGTACAAATTATCCATCAGTTAATAACAAAAAATGTTCTTGTGAATATCAGGATTCACATTAGTGAATCGAGATTCTCTATGTTTGAGTGAATACAAATTGACCCCACTAAGTAGCTATTCACTTGAGTGAATATAGATACATCCAATGAATCACGATTCACTCTAGTGAATCTCGATTCATTGCAGTGAATCTCGATTCACTACAGTGAATCTCGATTCACTGCATTGAATCTCGTTTCACTCAAGTGAATCGAGGAGTTTAAAGTAGAGTGCATATTGCAGAATCCAGACAACCAGAGTTAATCGTTCACAAATGTAAAAAGATGTTTAGTACATTAACCTTTTTCATCTTTTTCCTTCCTCTTGTCATCTGTTCATTGTCTTCATCACTACTACGCTTTGATGTTTCGTCAGCTGCAGGATTATTTGGGGGGTTCACGAGGTCATCGTTAGTGTTGGACCTCACATATCTTTTTTTCACAAGCTTCTCCAGTGAGGAAAATAATATAATTAGATCAAATTATCCATCATTGAATACACAAAAAAAAAATTAAAAAATTTTAGTACACCAACCTTTTTCTTCTTCATTCTTTTTGGGGTCTGTTCATTGTATTCATCCCTTGTACGCTTTAATGTTTCCTCACTGTCAGGATTATTTGGGGGGTTGATGAAGTCATCGTCACTGCTTTGCATGGTCACAACCCGTGTTGTCTTCTGTTGAGGTATAGGTGTAAATACCTCAACCATCTCAACACATGCTTTTTTTTTTTTTTGAACTAGATCGTAGACCTGCTAAAACCGATGACATTTCATTTTTTAATGATAACAGACTTTGCATAATGCATGGCAAGCATGAAGGTTTAATCACATTATTGAATATAGATATTATAATCCATATCGCAATTCACTTCAGTGAATAGCGATTCGCTGAAATGAATATCGTTTAACTGCACTAAATCGCGATTCACGTGAGTGAATATCAATTCACTCCATTGAATCGTTGCAGTCAATAGTGTTTCACTGTAGTGAATCGAGATACACTTTAAGTGAATCTAGATTCACTTAAGTGAATCTACATTAACTACAGTGAATCAAGATTCAACCAAATGTATTGAGATTTATCAAAGTGAATCCAAATTCAACAAATTGTATCGAGCTTCAGCAAATTGAATCCAGATTCAATGATATGAAACCAAATCCATGACATACCATACATTGTTTCAGTGTATCGTCCCTCAACACAACAAGGAAAAACTGATTATCGTTACAGTTTAATTTCACTGATAGTATACATAAAGCATATAATTTTTCCATCCTATATACTCGACCTCGGATCATATTTGGGAAAGTTTCCATCCTATATACTCGGCCTCGGATCATATTTGTTATTTTTTACAAACAAACAAACAATTATGATAAAGTTGAAGTTTAAAGAGCAATCATTTTTCCGTAACTGGTAAGAACATCCAATATATGAATCTCAATTCTCTACGAAGGATTCACATTAGTGAATCGAGATTCTCTATGTTTGAGTGAATACAAATTGACCCCACTAAGTAGCTATTCACTTGAGTGAATATAGATACATCCAATGAATCACGATTCACTCTAGTGAATCTCGATTCATTGCAGTGAATCTCGATTCACTCAAGTGAATCGAGATTCACTGCAGTGAATCTCGTTTCACTCAAGTGAATCGAGGAGATTAAAGTAGAGTGCATATTGCAGAATCCAGACAACCAGAATTAAGCGCTACCCATTTAGAACAAATGAAATATATATATATATATATATATATATATATATATATATATATATATATATATATCTTCTCTTTATATCTCTCCATCAACCATCTCAAAAATATATATAGGTTCCATAGTTGACCTCCCGGCATAAAACCAAATTGATTTTCAGGTATACTTGTCCAACTTTCTTAGTCTTTGCTTAATAACCCTCTCCCAAAGTTTCATAGTATGACTCATAAGTTTTATACTTTGATAATTTGAACAACTTTGTATATCTCCTTTATTCTTGTATATCGGTATCAAAGTACTAATCCTCCACTCATCTGGCATTCTCTTCGTCTCGATAATTTTATTAAATAATTTAGTTAAACCATCCTAGGCCTGTATCTCCAAGATATTTCTAAACTTCAATAGCGAGAAAATTTACCTTTTAGATAATCAAAGAAAATTATAATAATAAGTGGTCCTTAAACTTTATACTACAAAAAATTGAAAAGAATAACCATCATTATAACCTATAAGATAGTGACGTCCAAAGTAAAATTGATCACAACTAGTTCTTGCCAACTGCATCATATTCTAGACTACCAATACCTGAGCAGAACTTCTTGTATGCATGCACATATCAACTTGACTACCTATACAATCCTGCAAAACAAATTAAACTTTCAAGATATCAACCTCGACGAAGATCAAGATTTTCCAATAACTTTCAAGGGTGCGCGATAGGCAATATCCAAACGGTGAGGCGATGGAACTATCTTGAGATGCTGAAACTCCTCACAAACATCATTAAGAAAGTCGAATACCAAAGACGTTGCGGTACCCCCATGGTGCTACCCGAGGTTCGTTGCGTGGCGTGATGATATCGTGTGCTACCTCTTTTGTCTGTTGACATCCAGTGCTTGTCACCATCCTCACTGTTGGAGTAGTTGGCTGAGTTCAGAATTAGCATTGCTAACGTTGCTCGAACTGCACCTGGGTTTTGCTCGTAGGATCTTCAGCGTCGAAATTGTTGAAACTCTAGGACATGGATATCACAATAATTCCGTTGACAACTTCTAGTTCTAGCCTGAGCTGGTGATGGAGAAGATATCGACGAAGCCAGACAACTGTAGACACCAGCCATTGAGCCAATTTTCCATATAAGAAAAGAAAGAAAGAATGCAAGAGGAAATTTTCATGGATCTTACTTATCATTGTACATGTTTGTTTTATGGGTTTTTTTTCTTTCCCTCGATGTGTATGTACCCCTTATATTGTAGATATCTCAGTATTTGCCTCTCAAATCATAGTAGTTCTGAATTTGCCCTTTAAAATGTTTTATTCCCTCAAATTTGCCCTCACCCTGACTTCGGTTAAATTTTAAACAGCTTTTCGGGGGTAAAATCAACTCTTCATCCCTATTTTCAAAAACAAAATCAGCAGAAAAAAAAGGAAAATCCACTATAAACTCAACGACCTGTTTAAAATGCAACCCGTTATAAACTGAATGACTTGTTTTATTTATTTATTTTATTTCATGTTTGTATAGGAACTTAATTAATGCTTGTCTTACAACCTCAGCCAATCACAACGGCATTAAAGAGTACCCGAACGTCGAGAGAAATGAATAGAGGATCTGTTCTCTTTTAATAAACAAGTAGGGTTATGGCTCTGATCTGTAACTATATTATTTTTCCCTGGTAGTGTTCTTAAAAACAATTAAAATAGGGGTAAAGAGATAATTTTACCCTGAAAATGAAACTTGCGGAGATTTTGAAGTGTTAAAGAGTGAAGAAGGATGGGGCTGTTCTGAAAATGGAAGGACCGAAACCTGAAAGAAACAGAGATTTTGGCTTTTGATCTTGCTCCTTCATTACATGCTGTAGAGGTTAAAAAGATTAATGGATTGGAGACACATTGGAGTATCAGCATATGTTTAATTCCATTATGTGACATGATATTTGGATTTTTACTTTACCTTCTGTAATATTAGTTGAACCGCAATGGCAGGAGCCCCGTGCACTGGAACAAACCATCGGATCTGCTGTTTAAAACTATTTTCGATAAATTAATCTGCAAGTTTCTGATAAAAAAAAAAGTTCATCCCTCTTTAGCCACAGTAAGTGATCAATTCCCAAAAAAAAATGAACATATTCTTAACACACAACAGAAGAAATATTTCACTAAAAATTTATATATTTACAGCTGGATAACAAAAGGGGAGTTCGTCAGATCAATAAATTCTGAAGAAACTTTAGCTTTCTTCTTGCATTTTGCAACAATGCAGCTAGATGGCGTCGACAAATCTATGATATTCCCTTCATCTTGAAACAATGCACCCTCTGTTGTTCCCATCTCATTATTGAACCACCTTGGGGAGTATTCTTGTTCGGTGCATGAAATTTTACCGAATGCGGGCTTGGGAGACTCATAGCCAATATTATTGAATCCCATCCCATTGAATGCAATATCTGATGTTCCCATCTCTTTATTGAAACATCCTGGAGAGTACTCTTGCTCGTTGCAAGAGCTTTTATTGAAGGCAGGCTTTGGAGACTCAGCATGGGACTGATACTCGTACACAAAATTATTGAATCCCTTGTCATAGGGGAAATCACAAGGAGATGATCTTTCAACAGACTCATTATCTTCTTTCACTTCCTTATCGTCTTCGTTAATCTTGTCTTCATCATAGTCTTCTACATCATCTATCTGACCTTTGACGTAGCATGGGAGTTCATCCATAACACAAACATTTACTTTCATTTGATCGGGTAATTTTGGACAGCCACCAATATGCTTCATGTATTTGGTTGAGAAGAAATTCACTGTGAGGTTTAAGCTGGCAGAAATAAATGTTTTTGAGTTTAAATTCTTAAAAGAGGAGAACTATCAGCTATATAGAGAAGGACTTACTTTTCCCATGATGGAAGATTAAGCATTGTGTAAGCCATTTTGATTTTGTTAGCTATGCCAGAAAGGGACTTGAAATTTGAAGCAGCTTTTCTCACAGCTAGAGACTCTGTTGGATGTTGCCAGGCCCATTCAAACTGCATGCGTTAAGTTTCGAAACTCAAGTGTTAGAAACTTAGAGAGATACCAAAATAGACATATGCTCCAAAATTTCCATCCCACACTTCGTATTCAGTAATACACGATGACTACTATTAATAATCTTCGTCGAAAGAACCTAATGTAAATGGTAGTAACTAACAATCCAGTTTAAAAGACAACTTCAGATGTACAAGTCGAGAGAAAATAATTGAAAGCCTTCCCCTAACCGAAAACAAAGCAAATGAAAGAATAAGGAGAATGACAAGAACAAGCTTAAATTAGGATCTTTTAATTGTTTCATGAACATTCCAAAATTTCATGAAATTTATCTCAGGAGTTCAGCAAAAATGCACCACACTCAAACATTGAAGTTTAGAAACTCAAGTATTAGAAATTTAGAGAGAGAGATACCGAAAACAATTAGAAAAATGCTCCAAAATTTCCACTCAACACTTTATATTCAGCGACAGACACTGGCTTCTATTTATAATCTTCATCCAAAGAAACTAATGCACTAGTAGTAGTCTAACAATCTAGTTTAAAAGATAACTTCAGGTAATTCCAAAGAAGATTATTGACAAAAAGTATTTCCTGAACCAATACAAAACAAATTAAAGAATAAAGAGAATAAACAACAACAGACTTCGGTTAGTCTCTTTTAGTTGTTGCATTAATGTTCTAATAAATTCATCGAAAACTGTCTCGAGAGTTCACCAACAATGTACAACAACCAAACATTGAAGTGGTGCAATAACTAATCTATATCAATAAACAACATAGAACTCAATTATAACTAGATAATCCACAGGTATATCCTATTGATACAGTTCATTTCCCTCTCAGGTATCATAGTCTTTATAGTTTCAGTTTTACAATGACGATTAGAATCTACGACCTCCTAAGCGATAGAATCTTCTGATTCCTTGTCAAGAAGTAACTCTTAATGTATATAACCTGAAGGGCCGAGACATTGGAAGGGAAGCCGTAGATGCAAAGAATCATCTCCCATGGCCGTCCTCTCTTCGTCCTCCACGCACCACACCTGATTTCTCCATTATGCTGACGAATCCTTCGCCTGGGATTCACAGTAAACCTACAGAATTCACACTCCAAATCAGAGCCAACTTCGAAAACATTCAATCGCCGTACCAAGTCTGAATCTTTATAGGTCCTCAAATATTGTAACCCCCCAAAACGTAAGAGCTTTTCAACCAAATTCTACCCATGGCTTGATTAAATTCAATTTCTACCAGTATCCAGCACTAGTTCATTGTAAGAGCACATAATTTACAGCAGGCCCAATTTTCCCAAAAAAATAAATAAATAAATAAAAACCTCCTTGCCAAGTTCGAATCTTTATAAGTGATCAAATCTCGCAACCCCTAAAATTTTAGGACTTTTGAGCAGATCCCACTCAAGGATTAATTTAAAAAGTTTAATTTCCACAACACAAGGGCGCCTTGATCTGCTCAACAAACTAATATATGGAAACGGAAAAAGCCCAAGAGTTCAAATATTATTAAAAAGAGGAAAAAAAAATTGATGAAGACTCAGATGATTAATTACCCAATGTAGGTGTGGCCTTTATGGAGAGGGCTGCAGAGAGCAGAGGAGATAGTGCAGCGAAAAGCCCGCCGCCGCCATTGCTCTCTTTTTCTTCTCCTCCTCACTCCTCCTCTCATCTTCGTCTCCTTCTCTTCTCCTCCGCTTGCCGTTTCTCATGAATTTTGCTCTTGGTCGATGCTCATTCTTGCCATTCTCTCTCTCATCTCCATCTCAGTCTCTCTCTCTCTCCAAATTATGACCGTTGGGATCTTGACCGTGTGCTTATTATACCTTCAGAGAGAAACGTGAGAACTGAAACAACGGGTGGGACCCGGTTTCAGTGAGAGGGTGGGTGAAAGTGAACTTTTATTTATTTTATTTTTATTTATTTTTTGAATAATGATGAGTACAAAGTTGGACTAAATGTGAACACATCTACTAATCAAGCCTTTTCTCTCTTTTTTCGTTTTTGTCGCGTATATACCTTCGAAATATAGCTATCTACCCTTAAAAACTGAATAATTGCTTTCATATATATATATATAGAGAGAGAGAGAGAGAGAGTAATGGAGGTGAGCTGGCAGCTCATCTACCCCCGTGAGCTGCAAGTGTATGACATGTGAGCCCCCTACTAAAGAACATCATTCAATTTCCGTTTTTTTTTATAGAGTGACCATGGGCACTCTATAAAAGAGGAGAAAGATAAAGAGAAATGAATTATGCACAGAAATTAATGCAAATCAGAGGGTATCATAAGCTATTCATTTCTCTCTATATCTCTCCTCTCTTATAGAGACTGTTCAATTTCAAATGAAAATGGTTAAAGTGACAATAACTCATCTCGCCTATATAAAAATATGTGGATTTGCTTTTATGTTTCCCCTATTTGCAAATTCACCCCATAAATCTGAATATTTGCTAATTTTGTCCCTATAAACCTTTACAATATCAAATTTTTTTTTTTTGATGGAAAAACAAGGGATGGACCCTGTTCATTTAAAAAGATAATAATCTACTGTATGAGATTTAGGGGAGAATCAGTAAATATGCAACTGGAATGGATTAATGTGATGGAGGATTTTTCAAAACCATCCGCTTTTAAAATTTATTTTCAAAAAACGACCCATTTCAACCTTAATTTCAAAAACCAACCCAGTTTCATCCAACTGGGTCGGTTTTTGAAATTAAGATTGAAATGGGTCGTTTTTTGAAAATAAATTTTAAAAGCGAATGGTTTTGAAAATTTGTCCTTAATGTGATAGCTATACGGAGAAAACCACTCTAAAAGGAAACTTGTGGTCCCCGATCGTTAGTATGGTAAAACATTGGAAGGCATAATACTAAACAAGCAAATCCGACCCCACCTCGTGAATAATATCTACTCTTCTATAATAATGAAAGGATTCAAGATTCACTATTCATACTAAGTAAATAATACACCTAATATTATAGCTTTGTTACTGTAGCATTATTACTATATGTAGAACCCCGTAATTTTTGTATGAATATATATGAATTATTAGTAAATAAATTATTCTTTTATGACAAATAGCTTGAGGTCATTGATGTACATGATAACAAGTTATTTGAGTTGATAGGAGAGTATGGGTGTAGAGCTTTGTGCGTTGGACTTTGCAAATTAGCAAAAACATGCACAAAACTGGAATTTTCCAGTTCAGTCGACACATCAGTCGACTGACAGTGTCGGTCGACACATCAGTCGACCGATACGCTGATTTCCAGTTTTTACAGGTTTCGGGTCTGTTTTGTTTTGGTTCGGGTTTGGGTCGGGTTTAGCTGTTTGTATATATCCTTCTTCACCCGAAAACATCCCCTCTCATCCTCAGATCAGAGAAACCCTAGCCCCCTCTCCCCTCTCTCAAACCCTAGCCTTGTTCTTGGTGATTTGGGGAAGAAATCGGAGGATTTTCGGCGGGATTTTCAATTTGCAGCGAAAGGAATCACTCCCCCTCAGATCCAGGAGCTCTTCATCACCTCAGAGGCGAGTAACATCTCGCCCAACCTTGTCCCATTCTTTTTAAACGTTTTCAAATGGTTTTATTGAGATCTCTTTGGCCTAAAACGTATTTTGTGTACAAAGATTGGATTTTTATTGCATATAACATGAAGATGTGCATTTTCAGTTTGATAAATAACCTACTAATGTTTGGTAAATTTAAAATCCAGATCTGAAATGTTTTAAAAGAGATTTAACATGGGTTTTGTTTTGAAAAAATGTTTTTAAATACATAAATACATATGTTTAGAGTTTTATTTATGTATTTGTACATGAAAGTTATGTTTCAGTTAGTCCATACATGTTAAAATACGTATGGTTCATGCTTGGAATTGATGGGGATGTGTTTAGATAAAGTTTGAGATGAAAATCAACCTGAGCAGAGTTTTTTAGCCATCAGTCGACAGATCAGTCGACTGACGGGCTGGTTTTATTTTCCCAGTTTCTCAGTCGACTGGTCAGTCGACTGGCGAGCTGAGGCTATGCTGCCTGAGCCTCATCAGTCGACATATGAGTCGACTGACGTCGTCAGTCGACATATCAGTCGACTGATGAGCTGTTTTATAGATTTTGATCTGTTTGAGTTGTCTTTCGGGGTCGCCTCGATAACCTGACCCTAGCTTATCATGTTAATGACTTATCTGTACATGTGGGTTGACTTATGTCACAAGTTTAGACATGTACACCGAGATGCGGGTGAGTTTAGATTATGTATATCTGTCCGCCTATACTTTTCACAGTTACACAGTCCTCGTGTTGGACAAGCATTACTTTACAGTCCTCGTGTTGGACAAGCATTACTTTATAGTCCTCGTGTTGGACACCCTTCCCACTTAGTCCTCGGGTTGGACATGCATTGCTTTTTAAATCCTCGTACTGGACATGTTTTACCACCCGGTCCATGCGTTGGATAACGGTCACACCCGGTCCATGCGTTGGACAACGGTCACACCCGGTCCATACGTTGGACAACGGTCACACCCGGTCCATACGTTGGACAACGGTCACATCCGGTCCATGCGTTGGACAACGGTTATATTCAGTTCATGAGTTGGACATTCACTTCATGCAGTCCATGGGCTGGACGTTTAATATATATATATATATAGTCTACGTGTTGGACACCTAATCGTTTTCAGACATGACACTTATTGTGGCCATGACGCGATTACACTTATCGGTAGAGATGGGTTTGCATTCGTTTCCTTTATTGTTTCTTGTATTAGATCTCGGGTTTAGTATTTAGGGATTTACAATTTGAGATACAAGGTATATACATGAGGGTTTCCTTGTTTGGATTATTTCGCTCGACGTACCTATGCTCGTGTTGTAATTTCCTAAGTATAAAAATCCATTGTTGTTAGGATAAATGATTTATAATATTATGTATTAACTGTACTTTCATATACATCGAGCCCTATCCCTTGGGGTTGGTTGTGATGTTGCTCGCTAGCGCTTTGACGCTCGTTGTCCCTCCCCCTTTCAGGTAACGAGCCAGGAGCCCGGAGAGTCGCAGGTTGATGGCGATGTACTTTAGCTCAGTCATCTATTTAGTTATATTTTATTTATGGAGCTCCACTGTAGACTTTGTTGAGACATTTGAGGACTTTATTCTAGATGTTGTAAAGGCTGTGTGCCTTATTTCCTTTACTCAGACTTGTTGTACTTGAGACTTGTAAGAACCCCAGTTTATTCATTTCAGACATTGACTTTGTATTTCTGTATGTTGGATGACGAAATATGATTTTGATTTCTATCATTTTGTCAGTCATCTCTTGTATTATCTTTTACTTGCTTTTGTACCTACACCTGTTATTGACTCTACTAGAGTGATAGAATTGTGATGGTAAAACATGTTATTGCACGGTGTGGTGCATGACAGGTTTGACATCCTTGGTTTCACCTTGGACTGCAGCCTTGTGTGAACCCAGGGGCGTCACACTATAATATGCTACAATAAATTACTGTAGCATTATTGTCATAGCACGGGTGGGAACTGCAGCGTTTAAAAATATTATTGTAGTATCATTACTGTAGCTCAAACGAGAAATTGTAGAAAATTTAAAAAATATTATTGTAACGCTTACAAAATTGTATTTAAATTCAGAATTACTGTAGTGGAAATAAAAAAATGGAGGTCATGCTTTGCACATGGTGCATACTAGTAAGTGTTATTTAAAAATTTAGAATAGACATGTCATACAGATTAACCCGAGTGGCACTAGGGGCACACCCCAAACCACAACTCCAACCACACCCTCTCTTTCTTTTGCTACAGTGCACCGGGCCCCACATAGGATTTTAAAATTTTAAAATCTCATGTGGGGCCCGGTGCACTACAGCTGTAGCAAAAGAGAGAAGATGTGGTTGGAGTTGTGGTTGTGAGTATGCCCCTATCATTTTCTTTAACCACCACCCTTTTGACCAAAGTCCAAAAGCCCCTGCGAGTAGGGGTGCATTCGGTCCGGATACGGCTCGGATATGATGTTTATCATATCCATATCCGCTTACCCATCTCGGATATAAATACGGATATGGATACGGATATACCTCGGTAAGAAAAATTCATAACCATATCTGCTAAAATCGAATACAATCACGGATATATAAGCGGATATGCATGCGGATACACAACGGATATGAGAAAACTAGATAGTGTTGAGAAAAACATAGTTCATGTGATATAAAAGAGTTCGTTAATATGTTCATTATAACTAAAAAGTTAAGATTAGACGTATTAATCATCAAAATTAACCACAAATCCATAATCTAAGAATTGAAACTATTGTAAGAGTATGACTAATATGTATTCGGATATTTCGGATACGGATACGGATACGGATATTTCACTACAAAACCATATCCGTAACCATATCCTATCGGTTATAGATTTAAATAACAATATATGTATATGTTATCCTAATAGATACAATTACGAATATTTCCTCAAATACGGATACAGTTTAACACCCCTACATGCGAGGGGTTATGGTGTGCATTTTTGCATGATCGTAGAACACCTGTGAGTTAAGAGTTAAGTCATTGAAGGTTCATATATTCAAAATGAAATACATCCATTGATCTCAATAACGACCATAATATGCTTTTTTTAACCTTCTTAGAGAGCCATAAACAAAGCAAATAGAAAAGAAAATGAGAGAATAAAAAAATAACAGTGCTCCGCATCAAACAAACCGATCATACCACTGTCAACACAACTCAATAAATAAGCAGATAATCAAATCAAGCATTTGTGTTTCTTTATACATTTTCACTAATTCAAGTTATTACTCACCAAAAGAAATCATTTCCTTGCAAGGTAAAAAGATGATAGATACAATCATGCTTCTTCAATCACGCTAGCTTGCATTGTATTCTTATATTAGACAAGCAAAATTGAACCCCTGAATAAAAACCCTACCTGCAAGGGCAAAAAATGCATTTAGTAGACTTTTTTGCTACTGCAATCACAAAAGGAAATGCAACCAAATCGCAAATACAATAGCACCAAAAAGTGGGTAAATTTCATATAACCAAAAAACTTCTAAAATGTCAATAATACCAAAAAAAACATTTGTGAGATAATCCCTAAGTTTGTCAGATAACCCACCATCAAACACTTTTGGTGTGAAGTGACAATTTTTAGAGTTTGGTGGACGGGCCAAACTTTTGGGGGTTAGGTGAAATTTACCCCAAACAAATGGGATCATTGCAAGTAAAATACAATGTTTGTTTACAAAACCAACTGATTATTGAAAGTAGAAAAAAATAAATAAAGATGATGTGGCAATATCATTTAATTTATTTATTATTTTAAAATCATATTATATTTTCAATGGTCTTTTGGTAGCTATAGATAAATGAATTGAATGTGAGTATTATTAATTAGATGAAATTACTAGTTTATTTGTTTAACAAAAATAAATTATTTGTAAAATTTTCTTTATCTTACCATCTAGTACTCATTTAATGGTTATAAACTACTTCACATTTTATATTTTTTTATGTAGCAATTTTAGTAATTTGAGGACTAAATTAGAAATAGTAAAAATTCAAGGGATTAATATAGAAAAGTCTAAAAATAAAGCCAAGTTTGAAAGTTCAGGAACCATCGGCTACAGAAAAAAATTCATCATGCGCTATGTGTTAAAACAGATGAAGATTAAAAACTATTTTGTAATTGATTAAAGTGGTGCCCACTCCGCTTCCATATTGTTTTCGTCAAAAATTGGTTTTGTTGAGGAATTTATTATATCTTTAGTCGATTACAACAAATTCAAAAGAATAGTCTTTTTATAAGACCTTTTCTACACAACAAAGCAAAAATTACAACTTTTGAGAAAATAACACAAAAATCGTCTATCGATTCTTGTTTTTGTGGGACTTTACCTGTGCCGGGAACGCTTTGGTTCGTGGACCGCCGAATCACAGATCGTGAAGGGGGTTTAATGATTCTTCCTTCGTTTATCGAAGTGAGAATTTGAAACGATATCTTATCAAAGTAAGATTCCTTCGTTTATCGAAGTGAGAATTTGAAACGATATCTTATCAAAGTAAGATAGTCGTTCTTCTTAAAATTAAGTCAAAGCTCGAATCTCAAGGGAATCACACCAAGAACTCAAGTCTGCTCTCTCTCTCTGCTCTGAATTGCTCGAAAATATGCTCGATAATGATCAGCCCCCTCAAAAATGATCTCAGGGGGTATTTATAACTCTCTGGATGAACAGTGCTTCCGAGACAGTGTTTGCTGTCTCGGCGGCCGAGACAGCAAAGACTGTCTCGGGTTCCGAGACAGTAAACACTGTCTCGGGTTCCGAGACAGTAAATATTGTTCTGAAATTCTTTAACCGCCTTACAGTTTCTTGTAACTGTGTCTTTCCCACGTTTTACAACTCGTTATTTTTGGCCAGTTTATCACTGTGATTCTCGCCCACAACGTTTCGCACGTTCTTTGAACAGTTGGTGGCCACGATCGTGTGCGGCGGTTACAAAACAGTTTCTCTGACTTTTTTTGTACGAGGCTGTCTTGCGGGCGCAGACAGTAAATACTGTCTCGGGCACGCCTAGAGTAACAAAAATATACTTGTCTCGCACGCCAGCAGACAGTAAAGACTGTCTCGCGTGCGAGACAGCCCATACTTGTGTTCTTCTGACTTTTTTGGATGATCTCCTTTTTGAGCTGTATTCGGATATCTTTCAGCATTTTTTGACGCCTACACATATGACATCAGCACCTTTTTAGGGTAAGTAGAATACACATTAAATCTTATGTGGATCGATTTTTGTATTCACTTTCATATGTACTTTCAATAAAACAAATATCTAAAGTGATAAAAGTGAGTCACTTTCTCACTTTTACTTTTTACTTTCATGTAAACAAACACCCACTTAGTAACGGTAATCATAATTGTAATTGTCTAAACTCTAAACAAACCATAAATGTTGGCTCTCTCTTAACAGTAACCAAATAATGTCAATTACCTTCGCATTTGCTTGCAATATAAGCAAGCTTCCAGTTAATAGCCAGCTGCATATGACCAACAGTCAATCAAATGACCCGGTCTTGCTCTGCCCATCAAATTATAAGCATGATATAGACCAATAAGAACAAATGTGTTGATTTTGCAATATAAAGCATAAGAAAGCTATTTTTACCTCTTACGGCTTGATAAACCGAGTTATCTTTGAAAGAACAGTTCTCAAATTGCAGACACCAGCTCCAGACTTGGAGCTCACCATCATCTTCATCCATCAATAAATTAATCACATTAAATAATTAATGTAACATAATTTTCTAGTAGTTTAGTATTATTTGAGATGATTCATGGAGCAGAGGATACTCACCACGGGATTAACTATCGACTTGTTTTTCTTGAGGCTCTGCCGCACAATTAAAATGACAATGATTACAACGTAAAAGGTATATGCATATTTGTAGTCAATTGACCAAGGATATTTACCTCTTGAATTAGCATAGCACGGCGAGCAACGTCTATAGGGAAAACTAAGTCGGTCTTGGTTAACACAATTTGGTAAGGTGTTTGAGATCTGAAGAAATAAATGGGACATAATCAACATTTATGATGATATCATAGATACTAGACAAAACTTCACTATAAGCTCTTAATGTATTAGCTAAATTTTATTTGAATTATTAACGTTTGAAAGTTATCAATAGAGACCCCTAACGTATTCTCTGTCATCAAATTAGATTCTTTTTGAGATTTTCCATTATCTATTGCTGATATGGTAGCTGACTAGATTGCCTTTTCTATCTCCTTATTACTACATAGCCCCCTATAATTTTTAAAAATTACAAATAACATCCTGAAGGTTTTAAATACTATAAATAGCCCCCTAAAAATTTTTCAAAAGCTATAAGTTACTAAAAAATTACAATAAACCCTCTAAAAGTTTTGAAAATTACAAATAGCACCTTGAAAGTAATTTATAATTTTTAGAACTTTCAGGGGATTGTTTGTAAAAATTTTGAGGGTCTGTTTGTAAATATTTAGGAGTCCATTTATATTTTTTAAAACTTCCATGGACTGTTTGCATATTTTCTAAATAGGGGTTCCCTACAAATTTTTCAAACAAGCCCCTAAAACTTTTGAAAATGTTAAATAACCCCCTAAAATTTTACAAAAATCCCGCTAGAAAATATGCTATTAGCCACAGAACATTTAAAAATTACAAATGGACCCATAAATTTTTACAAACAGACCTTCAAAAATTTTACAAACAGCTCCTGAAAGTTCTAAAAATTATGAATAACTTGCTTTTTATAATTTTATAACTTTTAGCCTTTTAGGGGTTGGTTGTAAATTACTTAGCAGTCCACTTGTAGCTTTTGAAAAATTTTAGGGGGCTATTTATAATGTTCAAAACTTTTTGGGTGTTATTTGTAATTTTAAAAGATGCGGGGAGTCACATAGAAATAAAGAGAGAGAAAAGACACTCCAATCAGTTGCCATGTCAGCAATAATTAATGAAAAATCTCAAAAAGGCCTAATTTGATGACGAAGAAAATATTAGGGATCTCTGTTGATGACTTGCAACATTAATAACTTAAATGAAATTTGGTCAACATATTAGAAACCTGTAGTGAAAATTTCCTTTGAAACTATATCAAACAGACACTTAAGAATGTAAGCATCTTCATATTTATTATTGGGGAACACTGGAGCTAATATAGATTTTCACAACATATTCCTTCCTAATACATTCAAATGCTAAACCATGCTCATGGATCCTAAAAGAATAGGTGCAATTATATTATCGTACCTTTCCATTAAATCGATGAGTTCATGGTCCCTTGGTTTCATACCCCATTTCGTGTCGATAAGAAGACAAACTCTATGTAGACCAACCCTTGTGGACACATACTCCTTCACCTACGAAAAAAATCAAGATTTTATCAAAAGGGTAGAGTATTAAAGGTCAGTAGTGATTCACAACAAATGGGATGTTTATTTAATAAAATGATAAATCATTGATAATAACTTCATAGCATAGTACAAATCACCATGAAAAGTGTACTAACTTGAAACTAGTCTCCACTCACATGATAAACAGATAATGGACCAAAGTTGGAAAGGATGAAAGAGAACATCAACAGTAATGTAACAAAAGATGACATAATTGAGCAATGATAGGAAAACAAAAACCACAATCTATCCCTGCTCTTTTAAATCCGCTTAAACCAATTCAACTGCTTCAGGCTGCAATTACCTCAAAATTCCATGCCAAGATAATTTATTTTTCTAATCATAGTATATATCATCAGCCTCTCCATCCTTTTGTTACATATCCAAAATAGTACTATTTGGTGCATCTTTTTCTTATTTTGCCATGTATTTTACCCACTTATCCGGGTATCATAATATTAGGGAGTGTATGCTTTTAGTTAATAGAAACCAGAAAGACTAGGATGATTTTGAAACTGATTTATAATTTGATATGAATATATGTCTTCTGTGATGGAAGTTCAAGGAAGCAGAATATAAATATTTTGATGTAACGTATTTTGTAAAAGGATCACGACATTCCTGTTTCATGTAAAACATTCTTTAAGCATGATGAGAAAGAAACAATGGAAATTGACATTCTTAAAACAAAGAATTCCATATATTGTTAACAAAGAAGACAGAGGGTTAAACATGATCACTGAAAATTAGAAGAAACTAGACATACTGAAAGAATTGTTGGTACTCACCAGCTCCTCCCACGCATCTTTGACTTCTTCCTTGGCATAAGCAAAACCATATCCAGGCAAATCAACTAAACAAAGCTTTGAAGCAAGCTTAAAAAAATTGATGGTCTGTAAAAGTTCATAAACAGTTAATTGTTATGTTGAGTAACCCAAGGTTTAGACTATACTCAATTAGAATCATAAATGCACCCTACCTGCGTAAGGCCAGGCTTATCCGATGTCCTTACTACTCCCCACTGTCTAGTAAGTGCATTTAGCATCGACGACTTTCCCACATTTGACCTGCCTAAATGGCCAATTAACTTGTTATGAAGATGACAATTAAAGTCATTATATGAAAAGAAATGGAACTAAACGCAGAAAAAATACACAGGGATAGGCAGACTTAAAAGATTATGCATGAAGCTTCAATACGCAAAAAACAGCAAGCTATCAAGCCAATGCAATTTTCACAATCAGAGACATGGACATATCAGTTGCACTGGATTGTGCGCGTTTTGAAATTGCCAATGCCATGGAGCTGTGCTGCTAAACCAATAGATTCCAGCTAAAGAAAGCAAATAAAAGTCTTAGATTATAAGTCATCCAAGCAAGCTCTGACATCTTATACGTCATGAATACGAAATTTAGGTAGTGTATTTAGGTTGCACGGGATTGTGCATGTTTTGAAATTGTCATGGAGCTGTGCTGCTAAACCAATAGATTCCAGCTAAAGAAAGTAAATAAAAGTCTTATATTATAAGTCATTCAAGCAAGCTCTGACATCTTATACTTAATGAATCGGAAATTTAGGTAGTGTATATAGGGTAAGGGCAAATATAAGATTCTTACCCTACCTTTCTCCTGCCCATTGACACAACTAGATTATGACAAATGAAATATATTGATCTCTCATGATAACATAACTAACTTCTGAATGAGCAAAGTCAAACATAAAAGATAGATATAAGTGTACACAAATGTTAGCATTGATGACCAAATTAGAATAGAAATATACAGCAACATAAGTTTTCTTATATAATTATCTTTTAAATAGAACATGAGAATAGATATAAAAATCATATATTTATTTTGCTTGATAACAATATATGCAACACACCTGCGAATGCTATCTCTGGCAATACAGGAGGTGGAAAAGATGAGGAAATCTTTGCAGCAGCAAAAAATTCCAACTTATTCCTGAATACCTATGGAAAAATATCCCAGCAAGTAAAGAAACAATTATGTGGCAATGAGAAACTTGAGAATCAAATATGAAAAGATATAAATAAGTAGCACTCAATGATGCAAGAAGGATCATACATTATCTTCAATCCGTTCTCTTTCGATACTGGTAGAGAAGGGAACATTATCTAAAGGTGCAGACAGCTTAATGTTGTATCCAGCATCCTTCAGTTCATTCAATCGCCTACGACCCAAGAGCTGTTGTTGGCATAGATAGTAATTATTATGACATGCTTTATTACATGAGATACTAAAAACAATTTAAAAAGAGAGTTCAAATGCTGTGTGTTTTTATATACATTATCTTCCACAAATGAAAGGATGGAAGGGCTTGGTTGTATAGCACGGAACTGAGCGTTCTTTGAAATTTCAGATTCGTTCTCTTCGCTCTTCTCGGCATGATCTATGAATGTGATAGCATGAACAGGAGAAAAAGGAGATTAAATTTGAAATGTATGAATATACATGACTTACAAGCACTAAACAAATTCTTCACTAACAATTACCATACCAAATTGTTACGAAGAAACAATCATGATTATCAAATTTCAGTTCCCTATGTTCATTTTGTTTTGACTAATCTGAATCTCCACTGGATGAGACAGCTTCTATATATATAGCATGAAACCCGCAAGAAAAGTAAGCAAAGAAAACATGGAAAAGTCGTACAATTGTACACAGAACACAATGTACTGACCTTCGGTAGGAGTGAAATCATCAAGTCTTTTGTTTGAGATGTCATATGGATCTATCTTGATAACTCTCTTCTTCTTCTTCAATGGAGCAACTCTCTCTGCGGAGCCATCATCTGAACTCTTTCGCTCAACTCTTATTTTCTTCCCAAATTTGTTGAGAACTCGTGTTTGATGCCTCACAGGCTTTTGCTCCGCAACTTGATCATCTCTGCCTTCACTTTTGCTATTCTCTTCAACCACTTTATCCTTGCTGTCGCCCTTATCAACTCGTTTCCCTTTAGTTCGGTCACTTCTCTCAGAAATAGAAGAATCTTCATCAGGATCTTTGTGTTTCTTATCCATCTTTTTCCATTTTAACTTGAATTTATCAGATGATGCCTCAACAGAATCACTGTTTTCATCCATATCTTCTTCTTGACTATCGTCCCACTTCTTCCTATTCCTCATCCCAAATACTTTTCTTTTCTTCAGACCGATTCTTTCCCCTCTTGATCTAAGCTGATCAATTACTTCGCTTCTAAAGGGTATTCTCTCGTCTCTCTTTCCACGATGACCCCTCATTTCTCCGCTAGCTCCGTCGCTCCTTCTACTTTCATCATATTCATTTCTAACATAACGCCTTGGTTCTCTTCCGAATTCCTTACCATCGCTAGCTCCACCTCTTCTACTAGACCTTTCCCCTCTCTCACTGTATTTGCGATTAGAATCATTCCCATTTGAATCAAAACTACCACCTCTACCTTCACTATACCCATTTCTACCAAAACTCCTCGGCTTTACGTAACCGGGTTTTCTTCTGACTTCCTTAGCATCACTATCTCCACCTCTCCTACTAAACTTTTCCCCTCTTTCACTATATCTTCGATAAGAATCATTCCTACTTGAATCAAAGCTACCACCTCTCCCTTCACCATACTCATTTCTTCCGGAACTTCTCGGTTTCGTGTAACCGGGTTTTCTACCGACTTCCTTAGCATCACTATCTCCTCCTCTTCTACTAAACTTTTTCTCGGTGAACCGAGATCTCCTCTCCTCACTTTCATTATGTTTCCTATGAGAATCGTTCCCATTTGAATCGAAATCTTCACTTTTCCTTCTGCCAAAAGATTTGCCGCCATTGAGGCTTTTCTTCAAACGCACTCCGAGCGCCATTCTACAAACACAAAGCAATCATTTTGACAACATGGGCAACTAACATTGTTATCTAAATGAACAATTAATGGTTGAAACGTGAAGAATAATTCGAAAACAAGTCCAAGCTCACAATTTCAACTTAAAATTGAACCCAAAAAGAAAAGGACCATACCAAGAAATAAAAAGCCTTAACTCCGAATCGCGAGTGCGAGTTGAAAAAGGGTTTGAAATTAAATATTTTAGAGAATTTTGTTTGTTTGATCGATCACTGTCTAGCCCTAGTTTGAGCTCTTGTGCGGCTTTGAAGTTCGAAAGTGGAAGAGGCAATTGAGCTGGCCCGGGTAAAATTTGACCTGACCCGCTGATTTATGACATGGATCCGACCCGATTGATAAATGCCTGCTCTTAGAGCATCTCCAACAGCTTCCCCATCTTCTTGGTATTCTAAAATTTAGAGAATTTTGAGCTTTTTTTGGGTCCAACAGATTCCCCATCTCATTCCCCAAAATGGGGATAGGAGAGAAAAAATAGAGAGTCTTCCCCAAATCTGCAGTATTCTGCAAATATTTGGGGAAGCACTTTTTCACGTTCTTCTAGACTCAACCCACAAAAAACAACTCCATCTCCTCATTATAATAATAAATAATTTGGTCAAAATGGGGATTCTTCAAAATAATAAATAATTTATTATTTATTAGTCAAAGATGTAGAATATTTTTATTATTGTAATAAATGCATGATTCTTCAAAATGGGGAAGCTGTTGGAGTTGGAGCAAAAATAATTTGGAGAATATGACATTTGATTCCCCATTTTGGAGAAATTTTTGGGGAAGATGTTGGAGATGCTCTTAGTCGTCTAGGATTGTTATTAGGACGTGGTATTCAAAACCCACACTCCATTTCAGTTCTATAGTTTTTAATAAAAAAAATTTTAATAAAAAATCCTAGTTAAATTTTATGGATTGTGATGTTATTATGTGGATTTCCTCTCTCCTCTTTTCTTTACTTATTTAAATATTTAATATACTTCAAATTAAATATATTTTATTTTACAATATTTCATATTTGTAAGTTATTATATATTAACATTGAATGTATTTAATTTTAAAATATTTTTAATCAACTTCTATATATTTATTTAATTTTATTTAAAATGAAATATATTTAATACTACTTAATATATTTAATATTTAATATTAACTTATATACGTTCATTTATACAAATATTTCAAATATTTAATACTATATTACATACATTTCGTTTGAACTTTTAAAATGAATTACAATATTTATTTAGTTTTGTTGTTGTCATCCGTGAATCAAAATGAGAGTGGTTTTTTTTTCAAATTAATACTTTTTTGTTAATAATTATTATTCAACATAATAATTTAATTTGAAACCCTTGATGCAAATAATTCATAAGTCTAAAATTTAGTCCGAGAATCCGACCCTTGGTCTATGAATCCAAAACAAAAGTTCAAGAATCCAAACCAAAAGTTCAAGAGTTTTACTTACAAAAATTAAAATTCAGTCAAAAAGTCTGAAGCTCTAACCACATGAAATCCGAGTCCCGGTTCCAATCCAAGAATGTCGGATTTACGGACAATTGTTCGAGTCCACATCAACATTCTTGAACGAATAACCGCCCCTTAGTGAACCTTTTCGACTCTTTTAAAATCAGAAATAGCAATCAGAGGATCGTCATTATGGTTTCAAAAATTTTCTAGAACACATAATATCTTGTCCCGGGAGCTCATGTTTTTGTTTTTAGTTTGTTCTTTCAAGTGCTCAAGGCAGTTGGCGTAGTGTGGAGGGGGGGAAGTGATTTTGCATTGCATTTTATTTTATTCGGGAAATACTAGTTATTTGTAGGATCCAATAACAAAACACTAACTTTGGAGGATAATAACTATCATTTTTGGAACTTTTGGCCTTTCAAAACCACCCACGGATTCGAACGGGGAGTTAGTTTACTTGATACCAAAAAAGAAAAGGTAAAAAAGGGAAAGAAACTGAAGTTTACTTAGAACCGAAGTCAGCTTGCGCATCTCATATAAAAGCTTCAACCGGTGGAGATCATCGGTCGACGCTCTCTTGGATACCTTTATAAGAGGCAGTTTGAAGGACCGTCTGTTGACCCCATAAAATTTATACAGTACAAGATAAACTATTAAATCTGAATACAGAAACAATAGAGGCATGCACATAACAACAGCCTCTGGCTAAACCTGCAACTCGACGGATCCCTGGCAACTGAAAATGCAAATGGAAGGCAGGAAAGAGAACACTAACCGACGTGTGATTATATATATTAACTGAAAATTTGCGTATCCCAAAAGGAAACCTGCGGTTAAACATGCTATATGAAGAAGGCCAAGAAGCATGAATTCATGCTGCATCTATATATATATATATATTCATGCTAATCAAATGACCATCTCATTTTCATTAAAAAAGAACTTACATTTAAACTAGTTTTTCTTCAGGTCTTTCCCCTCAGAAAAGCAACTATGCTTGCTTTTCTTGCTTATATTTTCTCCTATTGGTGGTTAAAAGACCAGACTGACTGTACATCTGGACCAGTCGAAAAGAGGCCGCCTACGTTTGGGGGTTTCACAGGTGGTGATGAATTTGTGACTTCTGTCATACCCTTTGCTGCCCTGCAAAAAATAGAAAGTAGAGCAGACGGTTATTAGTATTTACTGGATGTAGACAGACGGAACAACGTTTTTGTCTAGAATGAGGTCGGTGCTATAAAAGAGAATCAAAGTTCTAGAAGCCAAGCAAATGGGACACATCTACCATACAGCAAGTAAAATTCAGCTATTCAAGAATTGAAACATGCCCAATTAATAAACTCCCAAGTTGCACGCATGTATGTGTCAGTTGTGCCTGTTTCCTTCATCACACAAAAGTAGAGGCTTTACGTGAGTTATAGAGTGAGCACATGAATCCTTTTTCTAACCTGATAATGATGAGATACATGAGTGATAGTTCTCTAAGCACATAGATAAGGTGAAAAATGAGTGCACCTGTAAGAAAATAGCAATGTTTAAAAAGCACGTTATACACCTTGGTTTTGTGTAACCTAACACAACAGAAGCCTCACGTTACAAAACAGGAGGTAAAAACAGTGTCAGTGTGATGCTTCATTTTCCCTGAAAATGCACATTGTGAAGTGGCGTTTCCATAGCGTGCGTCTTTTGAGCGCTACAAAACACTCTCTCCATTTAAGCTGAAGACATGGGTGATATACCGTCGTTAAAATGTCCCAATTAATTCCATTCATTTATCTCTGGTACCAGGATTGCATAATTTATTGTACAAATTCATGTACAATGTTTTCAATAAGTTAATTAGTTTCAGTTTAGCACCTTATTATTTTCTCTGAGAGTATATTGTTATTGTGCTTCATAATTCTTCGATATAATTTTTTACACAGTTTTTTGGAACAAAAGCTTTGTAGGATAAAACATGTTAAGCTACATTAGGCATTAGGTTATACTATGTTTTACAAAAATTATACGTAATTGTCATCTTCAAGATTGGAAAATAGTAGTTTTAGGATGATGGAGGAGAAAAACATTCATAGTTTTTGAACACGTGCAACAAAGGCACAAAGTGCACCAGTTCAGAGTAATAGTATGAAGATTACGTAGGCAATGGAACATAGATAACTAGATACAGGTCTAGAAGAACACAGAGTAGGATCTAGTAATTAAGATATGACATCTGTTAACTGAGATAACCTTAATAGCTAGAAGGGAAAAAAAGATTCATGTAGCGAACCAACAGATTAACACTTATGGTTTTTCCTTCTTGATGTTGTTTGGTTGTGTGTGAGCCATCTCATAGCCCAATTCAAGAAGCATATGTTCTAGGTTTGTTGCGACTAGTAGGAGCTAATTTTAAGCTACTATTTCTCTTTTAAATTGGCACTCCCATCAGCCTCTACTAAACAAGCCAAACTGTAACAAATAGAGTCATGCAAGAGTAATTGTCGGGAGTCTGGTCATCTCATACTCTTGTGGTAGATAAATCACCAAGAGAAAAAAGAATCTCAAACTGAAAAATGAAACTACAACCTTGTACAGCATTGCAATCTAATTCCAGCAATTTTTCAACGACCCAACAAAATTGTCCAATGACTTACTCATGCCCAAGCTTCTTCTTCAGCTGACTTCCGTCAAAAGATCCAATTTCTACCAAGTCAGAGTAACAGTCCCAAAAGACAATCTTTAACCTTCAACCAGAGTCCAGACATCTAATTCTCTATATGCAATCATCTAATTCCCAACCATACAATTTGCATACTATCACAATCAACGCGAACAAAAGAACAAACTAACACTAACACAGTAAAACTAACACTAACACATCTAATTCTCTATATGCAATCATCTAATTCCCGACATACAATTTCCAACACTAACACAGTAACACTACGGCCAAATCAAACAAACATAACAATTTTCATCTGAACCAGTTTCCAAATCTGTCAAACTAAACAAGGGAACAATTTACTGTTATCTATCTACTAAAGCTATTGGGCTTTATACTGTTCATTCTATAGTATAAAAGCCAATAGCTTTTAGTATATACATATCGTTTCCTAAATAATTACAATTGCCGAGTGATGCAGGACAATCATGGGTCATCCATCAGAATATTTTAATTTTAATTTTAGTAATATTTGATTTGATCCCATATAGTCCTTTTTTTTAGTTAGGATTTCTTTAGGATTTGATTTTGAAATCTCTTTCCATTTTAGCTAGGATTTTATTTGATTACATCATTTAGTTTTGTTACTTTTGATTTAATTAGGATTTTTATTTACTTCTTTATGTGTTTAGTTGCTTTTTTTCCCTATAAATAAGAAATGTAATCCTCCATGAGGAATAGATATTGATGAATAAAAAATTAAGTTTAATCTTGAGCATGTGAATTGCTTATTGATATTTGAAGTGTCTTTGGGGTGTGAAGCCCTTGGGTGTGAAGCCCTTGGGTGTGAAGCCCCCTAGATGTGATGCCTAGTACCTATTACAATTCTCTTTCAATTATCCTTCTCGATCATCCACCACTCATTTCCCCTCCAAAAGAATCCCCACCATCCAATCAGTCAAAACACCTTCACATTAAAAAAAGAAGCTATTGTTCAATCGTGAATAGTCGTACTGTTCATCTTGGTTGTCTTTTTCTAAGACATGGATTTTAATCGCATGCTTCCAAGTCGTCGACGATTTCTCGCCTCCAGAACGAAGCCCTCGCGTCGCTCCTCATCATTTAGTATCAGAGCCGAAGGATCCACAGTTATCAGGGGTAAAATACAGCTACCTCTTTCACAGAGGTATGATTTTAATCCACTTAAATTTGGTACCCTAGCCTATTTTAATGGATTTGATGGATATGAGAAGCTTTATGAATTTGACGTTTAGATTTTCAATATAGAAAATATATTTTCTAGTTATGATATGTATAAACTGAAAATGTATTTATATGCTGAGTGTAGGCTAAAGAGAGAGGCAAAATATTAGTGGTATAGAAATTATTATCATTCAAATATCTGTTCATGGACAACTATGAAAGCTCTTTTGGAGAGAAAGTAATCTAATCTATTATCTAGAAGATATTATTTCTTTTCAAATTGAAGTAAAGCCACACAAATTCCTCAACCCCGGTCAGAGGTGGAACTTCAATCAAAATTTAATTTCAATCCAGATCCGAAACCTCAACTTGAGTCAAACGAGTAAGCAGAGTAAAATCAAAAATTTAATCAAGAACCAAAGCCTGAGTCTGAGCGTGAGCCAGAATCAGATGTAGATCAAAAGATCAATGTAGAGTGAGAGTCTGAACTATAGTCAAAAGAAGAAAATCAAAAGATAGATCCAGAGCCTAAGCTTAAACAAGAGTTGGAACCAAAAACAAAGCAACATGTCGATCTAACGCTTGAGCTTGAATCAAACCCAGAGCTCAAGTCAAGCCTAAAATCCAAACTTAAGATCAATATGCAGTGCAAATTTTAAGATAATATGATTATTGAGTTCGTTATTCCAAACCCTCCACCACTAACTCAGTATCGGGGTTTACAACTCATCTTGAAGATCTTGCAATCGACAATAGAATTCTTCTCACCAATCAAGTCAAAGATTACGCTCTCCCATTATAAAACTTAAGGTCGATCTTTCTTTAACAAGGGGAGATTGGATGCAGGACAATCATGGACCGTCTATCATAAGATTTTAATTTTAATTTTAGTACTATTTGATTTGATCCAATGTAATCTTCTTTTTAGTTAGAATTTCTTTAGGATTTGATTTTGAAATCTCTTTCTATTTTAGCTAGGATTTTATTTGATTGCATCTTTTAGTTTTGTTAGTTTTGATTTTATTATGATTTTTATTTACTTCCTTATGTGTTTAGTTGCTTTCTTTTCCTATAAATAAGAAATATAATCCTTCATGAGGAAAAGATATTGATGAGCAAAAAATTGAGTTTAATTTTGAGCATGTGAATACTTATTGATATGTGAAGTGTCTTTGGGGTGTGAAGCCCTTGGGTGTGAGCCTCTAGGAGTGATGCCTAGTACATAATAAAATTCTCTTTCAATTATCCATCTCGATCATCCACCACTCATTTTCCCTCTAAAAGAATCACCACCATCCAACCAGTTAAAACACATCCACATTAAAAAAAAGAAGCTATTGTTCAACCATGAACAATACTCACATACTGTTCATCTTAGTAGTCTTCTTCTTCATCATAGATTTTAACCCATGCCTCCAAGTCGTCGTCGATTTCTTGCCTTCAGATCGAAGCCCTTGCACCGCTCTCCATCAGCGAGTCTCTCATTTAGTTAGACCATTTACCCTTCAAGAGAAGGTCATGGGCTCAATTCTCGTCTCTTTCACAAATTTTTTTTAGACCTTAGTGTAGGCTTGTGCAAGCTACAGTGCACCTAACTTTAGCATATAGACTAAAGTAGGGATCTAAATATAGGGCATTTTGCCTATAAACTCAACTTATAACCAATTTATTTTTAAGCCTGCCAACTTTCAAAAAGAACTCTTTTTTTTCCTCTCAAAGAACAAAATACTCCATATTAAATAAAATAATATAATATGAGTTATAATGAAAAGGTTTCTTTTGCCTATAAATTCAAATTTTTACACCCACTATTTTCAAATTAACCCGCTTTTACTTATAAACACAAAGTCTCACCCCCATTTATTTTTAATCCCTCAACGTCTAAACTCACTCTTGGACACGAAATACTTCACCGGACATTTTATTCTATTTTTTTCAACTTATGTACTTCTAAAAAGGTTTTGCCTATGAACTCAAACTTTTACCCCCATAAGTTATTTTTATATCTAGTTTATATTTAAGCAATTTATTATGCGGTGCAAGTTGCCATGTCGCATTATAATTTGCAACTAAGTGGCTCGGCATATAATGTATTTTTTAACTAAATATTTAAATCATTTTTTCTATTTTCCATTTTTCACACTAATGTCAAAGCACCAATCGTAGATAATTTTTAATAATGCGTTATGACTTGCAGCTAAGTGGTTAGGTATCAAATATATTTTTAAACTAAATATTTAAATTATTTTTTTCCTTTTTCTTTTTTCAGACTAATGTCAAAGCATCACAAATTGTAGTTAATTTTTTGCCTATAAAACTAAAGTTGTATCCGCATTTATTGTTAAACTCCTACACTTTCAAAATGGGTCTTTTGCCGATAAATCCAAAGTTTAACATCTGCGTGTTTAAAAATTACACCAACTTTCAAAAATCACACTTAGTCCCAACTACTTCTCCAAATTAATTTTATAACTCTTGTATTTCAATACTTTGATATACAGCGTAAGGTACTATCTTATAACATTCTCCACTTTTCTCTAAGTTGTTATGTATGCGATGTATATTTTGAACCAAGTGCTTAAACCATTTGTTTGCCTTCTTTATTGCACTAATGTCATGGCATCATAGATACGTTTGTAACATATAAACATAAAATTTATCCATATTTAATTCTATAATTGTCCACCTCCAAAAATGTTGTTTTTTCTATAAACTAAAAGCTACCCCATACTTCCAAAATAACTCTTGACACAAAATATTCAACCAAATTATTTTTAACTAAATATCAAAAAAACCTTAACCTTAGACAATTATCATATAATCCCCATAAGTTTCAAAATATACAAAACCCTCCTTAAGTATAGGGATTATCAGAAAATCCCCCATTAACTTTAATATTTTATCAAAAAATCTTCTTTTAACTTTGAGATATTATCAGGAACACCCCTAAAATTGATGGGGCTTTAGGGGGGCATTCTGATGAAATCTCAAAGTCAAAGGGTTTTTTCTGTTAACCCATAAACTTAAGGGGTTTTTTAATATGTTCAAAGCTATGGAGGGTTATCTTATACTCGTCCAAAGTTAGGGGGTTCATGATATTTAGTCTATTTTTAACTCATTCTATTTCAACAACTTGATATACATTACATGATGTTAATTGCCCTATTTTGTTATTATATGCTATAGTTTTTCTTAAGTGATTAGATATTCCATATATTTTTAGACAAATACTTAAATAAGTTTTTGGTTATTTTAACACAAATGTCATAGCATCACACAGGTTAATTTTGTTCGTTTTCACCTAAGTCAATCTGAAGATCTAGCGAAAAAGCCAACAAAATAATTTTTCAATGAACCAATCTCAAATCCACGAAACGAACCACTTTTTTTTTTTTGGGGGGGGGGGGGGGGGGGGGGGTTTGATGGATTGAAACATGCCACTAGGCGCGGACCAAGGAATTGGGATACTAATGGTGACGAGGTCAACAGCTCCTCTTTTCTTCCTTTTTTAAAAAGACTACATATGATGGTTAGGGTGTTGGTGTTGTTTTTTGTTTCTTTTTTAAGTTTGTAATCTCATGTAAAGAAATCAGTAATGCCAACAAATCTGAAGAAAATAAGAACAAATATTCCATAATGTCTTAAGCCGTCAAGGGGAAGCATTAATGCCATGGTAGATGGCGGAAAAAAACCCCTAAGCATCTCTGAGGATAATGAAGAAGAAAGAGGGACTAGCGTTAATAAAATGACTCTAATACTATGATAAGAAAAATATCACTTTATCGTTGAAGGGGTAATACATTTATATATCTATTGCATAAAGGATATCATAATATAGAAAGATCCTAAAAGGATAATACTCTTGAGTTTTTGATGTATAGTGAATAATGCACTCAAATAACACATAACATTAAATACTTTTCTCTGAATAAAATTCTTCAACAGATCCAGCGCGTACAACTGCACTCAATGTCCCCTTATAACAAAATCATGTTAGAATTTCGCAGAGTTAGTGGTCCAATTATCTATTCTAAAGAGGGACCTTCCTGTTTATAGAAGGAATGCCAGTCCACAAGAAACATACGCACAAAGAGGTGTTTTCAATTTAAACTAAATGACTGATACATTCTCAGATAGGTTTTGAGAAACATGAGTTGTGGCATGGCTATCAATAACATACAACAAAAACATATAAATGTATCATTTTCTATTAACTAAAGCATATCTCCCATGTCAGAATATTCATGTGTAATTCTACTAGAGTTCAAATACCACCCTCACAAAATTTCTAAAATAGAAATGCTACCAAAGATGGACCAACATTGAATCAAAATGCTAATTCAGTTGACAACAAATTTTAAAATTTGAATATAGGTTTCTTACTTAGACCAGCCATTAGCTCGAGGCACCTCAAAATGATGTACAGCTGCTCCACTAGTCGAACTACCATATGTCACTTCATTCTGAGCAATATTGTCCATGAGATCCAGAGGCAGGAAGTGGTTTTCTCCATCGACCGGCAATGGTGATGGAAATGGAGAATTCTGGACCCACGGATCACGGCCATTCAACAAACCAGGACCAAGAGTACCGAATGTCCCACCATTCTGGAGAGTACCAACAGAAGCCTTTCGAGGAGTAAGTATGCTAGGCAGAGGGATTCCTGTTTCAACTTGAGATACTACAGGATTGTGACCCAAAGTACAGGATACATCTTGGTTAGATTTGCTTTGTACCAAAGGTGAAAACCAGTTGGAAGGTCCATCTGCAAGACCAAGTCCATCCCAAGCCAATGGGGTGCCCCACATTTGCCATGTTCGTGTCCCTTGCATGTCATTCAATTCATCTGGTTTTGAAGAATGCAACTTCTGGGACTTTGGAGTACATGAAACTAGTCTTTCATCTCGTGACCTGGAGAGAGGGGACTCAATAGGTGAAGGCTTGCTCCCTTCGGTTGAAGCACATGCATTCTTGAGAACACGAGGAGTCTCCACCTTACCCGTTTCAATAAATCCATTCCCAAGGTCCAAAGGGAATTTGTCAAGTTGATCAGATACAGGCCCTAGTAATGATAGAGGATCTGGAACATAACATGGGTCTTCAAATAGCTCAGAGTCCTCTACTGATCCGTTGTGCATTGGTTCTTTAATAGGAGGAAACATAGAGTCAGACGTAAAGTTTGAAGCCAAACTTCCATTTGATGAGTTTGGTGAAGAGTAGCCAGCAAGAGGCAATGATCGCCGAAAATTGAATTGATTATCAACAGAATAACTAGGAAATGCTTTCTGGTCAAGAACACTTCTAGCTTCCGGTTGCCAATTAGGATTTCCAAATGTAACACTATTTGTATCTGGATCTGGAGAAACAGCAGAAGAACGAGTAAATAGCTGATGCCAAGACTTTTTCGGGACAGTTGCTCGTGGCAGTACATCCGTCTCCACCTGGAAAAGAAAAGTAGAAGAGCAAAAGGATGCATAGAAAAATAGGAATTAAAATCTTTGATGCTTCATTAAGACAGGAAAAATAGAACGCTAACGATCAGTTTTAACAAATAATAACTCACAGGTCGATGGTCTCCATTTGGAGTAGATTTCCCAATTGCATTCCCTGAAGAATGAGTATCCTTTTTAGTCCCAGAATTCTGACCATTATCTATGAACCCACCTGCAGGTTTACTAACTTTGGTAACAGTGACAGCAGTCTGAGCATTCCTCCCAAAAAATGATGAACCATTGAAACTTCTAGAAGATGATAAAAGAGTTCCTTTCATCCTATCAAAGTACCTGGTCTTATTCCCTACCACCTTATTCCCGTTACCTTCCAACGATTGTGACTTTAAACTCTCTGCAGTAGCCTTTGTTCTCTCTATCTGGCTCTTCTTATCAAAATCCCGCTTCTTCTCATTCTCTCTGCTTGTCCTCTTCTCAAGATCTTCCCCATCTGAATTACTCTTACTTGACCCTTTATCTTTCTCCCTCCTCCTCTCACGCCTCCTCCGCTCTGTCTCCCTCCTACTATCTCTTTCCCCATCAACACCCAACGTCTTTGACCGTGATCTCTCCGCTTCCAACTTCTCATCCCTCAATCTCCTCCGTTCCTCCACCAATCTAGCAACCTCCTCCCTCTGCTTCCTCTCCTCCTCCTCCAACATCTCCCTTTCCAACCTAGCCAGCCTCTTCTCCTCAGCCTTTCTTCTAGCTCTCTCTCCTCTGCTCTCCTGAAAACTCCCTCCATTCTCTCCTCTCTTATTAGACAATCCTTTACCCTCTCCATTCAATGAATCATCTTCTCCTGATCCAACCCTGAAAACCTTTCTCCAGACCCACCTCACTTTCAAAAAGAACGAGCCCACTAATCTACACCCGAAAACCAACACTCCTGAATACGATTTCTCCGTCAAACATCTCTCATCACCACCACGACCACCATTAACCCAAAACCTCGGTGGCCCTGAAACTGACTCCCCAGACCAATCTTGCCACCCGGGCAAATCCAAAACAGGCCTTTTCGAAATATGCCCGCAATAACTACACATAAATTTCCCCCCACCGGGGTTTTGATCTCTATAAGGGGTAAAACAATTACGACACCTCCGGGTAGCTAACCTCTTCAGCTTCTGAAGCTCGATGGCCTGGGTCCTCCTCTCCTCTTTAATGCGGGCAGAGCGCCTAGCTCTCCATGTAGACAGCATGGGCATCAAGATCTCGTACCATACTAGGGTTATTAGAAGAACAACAACGCAAGCTAATCTAGGGCTCGTGATCTCAAAACGAAAATTTGGGGGCAAGAGCAGGGACAGAGCCCAGATGAGTATCAGGGGGATAACAAGCCAAGGGAGCATTGTAGCAACTCGACGAGACCACCTATGGACCACGCAAAGCATACACATTATCATCCAAACCCCAAAAAAATCAATGGGGATTTAGGGTTTCAGAAGATGCGGGGGAATGAAATTGGCAACAATTCCTCGATTCCTTGAGCTGAAAGACGACGACTTGGGGCTCGAAATCTTCTTAATTTGGGAGAAAATGGAGATTTTGAGAAAACCCTAGTTTTGGAATAAAAATGGCGTGAATCTACCGTAGTTTTGGGACCTGAAGAAGGAAAGGATCGATTAGGGTTAGGGTTAGGGTTAGGGTTAGGGTTAGGGTTAGGGTTCTTAGAGAGAGAAAGAGAAAAAGGAAGAGAGAAAACTTACGGATACGGATTATGGCGAAAACCCTAGCGACGGCGACTGGTCCTCGTTCATGGCTTTTTTCGGGAAGAAGAAATTGGGGGAAAAAGGATAAAGGTCGGTAATAGTTTTTGCTTTTTTTTAATAATTGATTTTTTTTATTTGGTTTTTTTCATATTTATTTATTTATTTATTTGCTTGTTTTGTTTTGTTTGTTTATTATTATCAGGGTCTTAATAAGTTAGCTTCTTTATTTGCTTTTTACTCTTCCGGATGAGGGGAGTTTTGTAGCGAAGGTCATGTGAAATTTGGCATTTGCAAATTTAGACCTGTGGAGACCAAAAAACTCAAAAGGCTGGAATATTAGTGGAATGTATTTCTAATATCGTGTAATTTATTTTACTTGTTTACCTTATTTCACTTGATCCAATCTCAAAATTGACCACAAGAAGTAATAAATTCTGCACTCACACGTCATAGTTTAGATTTTTACAATTATTTTTGGAGCATTTATAATAACTACACATGTGCAAAAATATAAATGAGGGTACACAATAAGCTCGTAATCTAAATCTAACCAACAAACTTATCAATGACACATCTTATTTCCAAATGTCCACAATAACTTCTCAATCCGTTTTTGGAGGCGTATATAATAACCACATGCGTGCAAAAGTATCAGATTATATACTTGTTACGTGTGACAATCTCAAACATAGTGTATCAAAAGTTCCATTTTTGGAAACACAACGGCACCAGATAAGTACATAACGAAATCTAGGTACCAAATTCCAAAACGGGAGAGTTTTTGGAGTACCATTGTAATTAACATTTTAGATGAAATCAAAATTCTGACCAGATAGAATATTGATATTTCAGAGCAGTTATTTGGGGTTGAAGAGAGTAAAGATAAAGATTGTGAACTGGAGATGAAAGAACAAGTGTCTGTCATGATTCCAGATCAGTATCATAATGAGGAGGAAAGTCTCAGGGAGATTGATTGTGAAAAAGCTATTATGGTGAGTGAAGGTAATTTCTCAAACCAATTGCTGGTTGTAGAGGAGATTGTTAATATGATGGATGATGTGGAAGCAAAGGAGCATTTATCTCCTGTGCTTTCTAAGATGAAGAAAGATAAAGGGAAAGAAGATTTTAATTAGTGAGGATAAGGATGATAATGTTTGGATGCCAGAGATATCACAGGAGAATTTTAATGAAGATAAAGAGAAATAAGTGCTTATGATCCAACCTTTGAATTGCCTGCCTCCAGTTGATCAAGAACTCAATGCTAATTCAAAAATTACTTATGTTAGAAGGTGTTCCAGATTTGAGGACCTTGAACCAATGTCTGCTTTGGATAGAGCTTCTGCAAGAGCTGCCTCAAAAAATGGATCTAATATTGGAGCTGCTTCAGGTGGATCAGGTGAAAATTCTTCTAACCTGGGTTCTTCTTTTGTTCCTATTCTGTTTGATTCATTATCTAATAAAGAAATGCAGAATTTGGCTTCAAAATGTGCTATAATTCTTGAGCCTCAAGGGGTGTTTGACCCTTTTAAAAAAGTGAGGCAAATGGAGAAGGAGAGAGCTACGTTAGAGTAGACTCTACTTCCTTTGTTTCATAAGAGGAGATTCTACTCTTCATACATGTTGGTTACATGGAATGTTAGAGGTCTTGGTCTGAGTACAAAAAGATTTGGGGTAAAAGATTTTTGTCTTTTAAATAAATTTGAGATTATTTGTCTTCAAGAAACTAAGTTGAATAATGTTGATGACAGAATTTTAAGTAGTTTGGGTAGTAATATGTTTGAATGGGTTGTTTTACCCTCAGTGGGAACTTCAGGAGGCATTATGATTGGTTGGAATAGCAGTAAGTGGTTAAAAATTCAAGACTTAACTGGGGATTATGTTTTGACAGTTATGTTAAAGAATAAGAGAAATGACTTTGTTTGGTCCATTTCTTCTGTTTATGGTCCTCATTATAATAGAGAAAGAGTTTTATTTTGGCAAGAACTTAAGATTGTGAAGGCAAGGTTTTCAGGACCTTGGGTGGTTGTGGGGGATTTTAATGTCACCCTAAATGCAGATGAAAGAAAAGGTAAAAAGAATTACAGAAAAGAAATGGAAGAATTCAGGGAGGTGATTAATGAATTAGAGCTGATTGATAGTCCTTTACATGGGAGGCAATTTACTTGGACTAATAAAAGAAGGGCTCCTTCTATGGCTAGATTGGACAGAGTTTTCTTCAACTCTGAATGGGAGGATAATTTTCCTTTTTCTAAGCAACAAGGTTTGTGCAGTCAGTTATCTGATCATGCTCCCATTTGTTTTGATTGTGGGGATAATCAACAGTTTGTTAAAAAATTCAGATTTGAGAAGATTTGGTTACAGTCTGATGATTTTAAAAAAGGGATACCTATTTGGTGGAATTGTGCACCTAAAAGTACATCTGCAGCAAAAAATATTGTTGGCAAATTGAGATTTATTAGAAAATGTATTAAAAAATGGGTTCAATCTGACTTTTATAGTGTTAAAAAGAAGAAAAAGAGTTGTTGGATAAGTTGTTGGAATGGGAGGTTATAGAGGAAAATAGAAATTTGGAAGATGATGAATTAGTTAAAAAAAATGATATTTCCATTCAGTTGAATGAGATCTTAATTCAAGAAGAACAGATGTGGAAACAAAGATCAAAAGCACATTGGCTTAAGGAAGGAGATAATAATACTGCTTATTTTCATAAAATAGCTAATGGCCGGAAAAGAAATAATCTGATTTCTTCTATTACAGTGAATAATACAGTAGTCAGTTCTGAAGAAGGGATTGCACAGATTTTTTCCAATCATTATAATCAGATTTTTGGTCAAAAGGAATCTTATAGATGTCAACAGGATTGGAATAAGTTGTTTCCTTTGGAAGATTGGGGATCTGATGATTTAGAAAAACCTTTTTCAGAGGATGAAGTTCATAAAGCTATTTGTGATATGAATGGTGATAAATCTCCTGGCCCAGATGGTTTTTCAGCCTTGTTTTATCAAGTCTTTTGGGAAACAGTGAAAAAAGATATTATGAAATTGTTTGTGGAATTTTATGAAGGTAAATTGGAAATTAATAGGCTCAATTATGCTCATATTGTGCTTATCCCAAAAAAAATGAAGCTTCTGTGGTTAATGATTACAGACCTATTAGTCTTCTAAATGTGATATACAAAATGATTACTAAAGTTTTGACTAATAGGTTGAATGCTAAACTTGAAAAGCTTATTGATCCTGTCCAATCTGGTTTTATTAAAAACAGATATCTGATGGATGGGGTTACAGCAGCTCAGGAAATTATCAATGATTGTTTTCAGAACAATAAAAAAGGAGGGATCTTATTAAAATTGGATTTTGTTAAGGCATATGACATGTTAGACTGGGATTTCATCTTGGAGGTTATGAAAGCCAAAAAATTTGGAGCTAAATGGCTACATTGGATTAATATGTGTCTAAAAGGAGGTATGTCTGCCATTGATATTAATGGCAAAATTAGGAGTTGGATTATGTCAAAGAGAGGTGTTCGTCAAGGAGACCCTTTATCTCCTCTTTTATTTGTCTTGGCAGCTGATTCCTTTACCAGGATGATGAACTTAGCAGTGGATTCTCTTCTTATTGAAGGTTTGGGTCCAATTAATATGCCTCATAAAATTTGTTGTTTACAATATGCAGATGATACATTGATATTTTGTAAAAATAAAAGAGAGCAGTTGACAGTGCTAAAAATGATACTATATTGTTTTGAACTTGCCTCTGGATTGAAAATAAGTTTTAACAAGAGTATTCTCATTGCTCTTGAGAACAATGATTCTTTGCAACAGAATTTAGCTGTTATGTTGAATTGTAAAAGTGAGACTTTTCCCATTACTTATCTTGGAGTTCCTTTGAGACCTGGAAAATTAAAAAAAGCAGATTGGTCTCCTCTGATTGAGAAATTTGAGAGAAGATTAGCTTTATGGAAAGGAAAAACTTTATCAAGAGGGGGAAGATTAGTTTTAGTGAATTCTGTTCTTTCTTCTATGCTAATTTTTTGGCTATCCTTCTTTTTATTTCCTAAGTGGCTTATAGAAAAAATTGATAAAATGAGGAGAAGATTTTTGTGGACTGGCTCTTTTGATCATAAAGGCTCTTCTAATTTAGTCAAATGGGAGGAGGTTTGTAGACCTAAGCAATATGGAGGTTTGGGGATTGTAAATTTGAAAATTATGAATAAGGCTTTGTTGGGGAAATGGTGCTGGAAATGGTTTGATAATAAACTGGAATTATGGAAACAGATTAGTTTTTACAAATACTTCGAGAGGAAATATTGGAGAGAATTTTTTTATTCTGGTAGAAATATTTTAACACAGTTTTGGAGGGATTGTTTTGATAATATTGAAAGCTTTTTATGCAGTACTATGGTGGATGTGGGAAAAGGAGATCAAACCTTATTTTGGCTTGATAAATGGGTAGGTTCTTTTACCCTTGCTTCAGTTTATCCCTCTCTTTTCAATGTCACTTCTTTTCCTTATGCAACTATCAGTAAGGTGAGAAAGAAGGTGAATAATGAATGGACATGGAGTATTCAATTTAGTAGACAATTGACTGGAAATTATGTTCTTCAATACTGCAAGTTGATGACTGATATCAGAGATTTTAATTTTGAACAAAGGGAGGACAGGAGAAAATGGATTTGGGATACTAAAGGTAAATTTACAGTTAAATCCTATTATCACTTTCTTATTGATGGGGGTTTAAGATTTGACCATGTTAATCTCTGGAGGCTTCCTGTTCCTTTAAAAGTGAAATTTCTTGTCTGGTTGGCTCTAAGACAAGGGCTAAATACAAAAGATAAGATAGAAAAAAAGTTATTCATGTGGATTTAATGTGTTGTTTATGTTCTAAAGAGGAGGAAAATCATTACCATCTTTTTGTAGACTGTGAGTTTGTATACTCCACATGGAGATCTATTCAACATAAACTGAACATTGATAAGGATTTCAAGTTGAATTCCCTAAGGGATATCTGGATCAATTGGAATATGGATAAGGGAGTTAAATGGAATGTGGAAAGAGACGTTATTTTATGTTCTCTTATTTGGAGTATTTGGCAGGAAAGAAATGACAGAATTT